CTCGACAACAGAACCGAGTCCGAACCGCTGACCTCCTGTCTCTGCCCGCTTTTGAACCCCGCGATGCGGGACAGCTCAGAAACGAGGCACAAACTTTCACCCCAAAGCCGTAAAAGTGGGATTATGGCGATACTGTTTACCTGCGTTCCCCCCTCTTCTTCTTCTTCTTCTTCTTCTCTGAGGAACAAAAATATTCATAAATTTCACCGACCCGGCCCACGGACGGAGCGAGGCGCCCCGACGAGCCGAGCCGAGCCGAGCCGCCGGCGGCGACGTGTGACGCTGTAATCCTCACCTCATTTAGCGACTTCTATCGCCCCAAATCCGGTCCGGCTGTCATATTTACAACCCGGTGTGCCCCAGAAAGGGTACAAATGAATACATTTCGTCTGAGCTAGCCCCCCCTCTCCCTCCCCAGAGCTCAACCTTTGGCTCTGCGGAGAAGTGTTACTTTTCAACAGCCCATCAGCTTCTTTATCGTCACAGATAGGTGGAGGAAAACCTGGCTCCTCTCGTCGAGTCCGAATAAAAGGCTCCCCTCGATCCACTCACTAAAAAAACTTAAGCCGCGCTTAAGTCAACTTACTTTGAAGCTTTGTCCCCTCTTCTTCACCGATGGTCGACCGGGGAATGTTTAATCTGCAGTTAACCTCGATAAATCGTTGCTTTTTTTGAAATCCAGGGGATATCCTCTTTTTTTTTTTTTTCGGCCCTCCCCACTGCCGCGTCTGTTGCCAAATAATGCGCCTCAACACACATGGAGCCGCTGCGTCCTCTTAGTGGGCATGCGCACCTCGGCATCGGATCACATCATGTAAACCAGTGACCACCAAGGGCCAGAGCAGGGCAACCATGTCAGGTCCTCCAGGTTCCTCAGTGTGACCCGTGACTGTACAAGCACACAATCTCTCTCCCTCACACACACACACACACACACAGTCAAGGTGTAAACAAACACTACACATTCTGCCCCAAAATACCCCATAACTTAATTTATAATCTAAACATATCCCCCGCAAACTAGATGCAAACTTACTGTAATGATGGACAGGCACAAATCAGTGTCTTATTGGGAACAGGAGTCGCAAAAATACACAAGCAGGAAATCCAGAAGGGTCCAGACCCGGCAGGTCTCCTGAAGTCCAATGTCCACTGTGTTTTGATCCCTTGATTAGCTGCTGATATGTTAAGGAATTTGCACCACTAAAGTTTTAAAGTCAGCTAATTCGGCTCCTGCGTTATTCCAAAGCGCCCACTGTAACGCCAACAAGGGCGTCTGACGGTGTTGGGACGTGGTGTGAAACGCAAATGAAAACAGAATTCAATAATTTGCAAATCTCATAAACCTACATCTCATTCAGAGTAGAAAATAGCAAACATTTCAAACGTTTAAACAAAGAAATGTTGCATTTAAAGCAAAATCATCTTAAATTTTGACGGCAGCAAACATCTCCAAAAAGTTGAAAGGAAACCTTAGAAGTTGGCAGCGTTTCCGGATGGGCTTCTCTTCTTTGCGTGATAGAGCTTTATGCAGCATTATTGAGTTTTTACGGATGACGGGTTTGTTGAGGTGCTCCTGAGCCCGCGCAGTGACGTTTGTAACAGAATCAGACCGGTTTTCATTGTGGTGGTGAAGGCCCGAAGGATCACAAGCCTCCAATATTGACTTTAAGCCTTTTTCTTTGTGCACAGCAAATTCTACACATTCCTCAAATATTTTATCGATATCACGACCTGTAGATGATGCCATATTCAACATTTTCCTGATTTTTTGTTTTAAACATTGTCCCATCCTTTTAGAGTTTTTTTGCAGACTGGTACATCTCTGTCCATTTACTTCTGAGACATTCAACCTTTCTAAAATACTTAAAAAAACAGTCCCCTTGTTGTCAATTAACCTAATTAACTGCAAAATGATATTTTTTAGTGTCCCACCTCATTTAACATGTGAGGCTGCCATAAAGTTCAAAATGACTTTATTTTTTGAAAGAAATGTCACAATTTCCTACACGTGTTCCATTGTGAATAAAACATGAGTTGATTTGCACACCATCACTGTTAGGTTTTATTTGCATTTTTCAAAAACATTGCAACTTTGAATTGGGATAAGTCACGTTGAGAGTTCTGCTCACGCAGCGTGCTGCGTTCACAAACGTAAAGCTGTAATGAAAAGTGCTTCAAAGCATCAAATAATTTAAGCCTCTTAATCGCTGATAGGTTAATGAAACATGATATAACGTGTTGTAAATACAACCATCCTTCCAAGTTTCCTTATTGGTCCATTGGTTCATGAGATATTTGAGGCAAAGTATAAAGCTTTATGTATAAAAATATAAAGCGGGCAATAAATGTCTCATTTGGCTTCCATACAAACAGTCGTGTCCTCATTCACCATCACCGTCTACAACAGATGTGATGTAAGGTGAACTGCAGCTGTGTCGTCTATTTAAGTCTCACTTTAAAGCAGGGATCAAACACGGTTTGCTTTAATGAGAGTTCAGCCAGGCCTGCACAGTTCGTCAGATCCAAACATGCAGGTCCAGAACACTCGCAGCAGGGTTCCTGCATCAAGGCCACAGTTCGGCTCTGTAAACAGTCCGACTTGCTTTTTCTTTTAAGGCATGACCGGCATCCATTCAAAGCATCCCTTCCTGTGAAAAGCTGATCCGCACACACTGAGACCTGCATGTAAAACTGTGCTCCAAGTACAAACCCTTGAGCCTGAAGTGGGGATGCTGTTCTGTATTAGCTGGAGAGCCTTGAAGTGCTTCGTCAGCAGGTTGTTCTTTGAAAAACGACACAAAAGGAGTTGTTTCTAGGTGCTGCTGTGTCATCGGCTCTGATTGTTTGTGTCTTCTCACCCTCGTCTCCTGAAGCCGGTTTGTGAAAAAAAAAGGCAGTGGTGGGTGATCATTTTTATTCCCTGTGTCGTCTGCGTCTGCGTATCGGTCTGTTACCAAAATATCTCATGAACCACAGGATGGATTTTAACAAAACCGGCAGTGAATACCCACTGGATGTACTTCTACAACTAGTTAACTTTTGGAGTCGACCCAATTCAAGAAGCCCGCTGCAGTCAGCTGATATTAGAAAACAAATAAATGGCTCCAACTCTATGAATTGTACAGATATTGAGCTAAAACTTGGCGAGTTGGTAGTTGAGAGTCGTTCGCAACTCTTACTTTGAAGTCTTGCCATGTCGTTTTGTGTAAATTTGAAGCTTTGACCTTAAACAGCAGTGACTTCATCATTTATCAACGTAAGACGATCTTAGTCTAAAGGTCATCACTTCTTCAAGGAACTTTATTTTACAGAATCAGATCCCTGAAGCTGCAGTTTTTGTGATGGTGTGTTGAATGATGCTCCTGTGTCTTTAGCATCATTAAAAAACATTTTTAACAATTATTTAAAAAGAACCATACTGATCAGATGTGAGCTGTTTTTGTTTATGAGTGGTTTTAAAAAGCACGATGGTTCTGATGAGATGCTGAGTGGCTTCAGATGTAAATATATGAATAAATATGTGTCATTTGGCAGTCAGAGAGATCCTTCTGTCCAGGTGAGAGAGAAATCAACCCAGGGTGAGGTGAGCCTGCCTCCAGCCTCCTCTCTCCTCCTCCTCCTCCTCGGTGCGGAGCAGGCCTAATGGCCGCCAGCTTCGACATGACAGCTTCAACTTAATCCTCATTAAGCACTGTAACAATGCAGGAAGTAGCTGCTGCAGTCACGATTAGACGGGCTCACTATTTGGCAGGAAATGACTCCTTTCAGCTGCGGCGTCCAAGACACCTAAAGAGAGCGTCCCAAAACTTTTCACTTCTTCTGACAAAAACACTCCTCTCTGCGGAGGAATGAGTCCCGGCAGGACGAAGTTATTGATGAAATATGGGACTTTAATGGAAAACAACACGCAGTTTGTACGAACAGGTTTGATGAAGGTGTCGGAGAGGTCTCCACTACCGATGTAGTTCAGAAGAACAAACGTTTTCTGACTTACGTCAAATGCGTAATTAAGTTAATGCGCAAATTCATACGTTTTTTAAATTTTGCCCAAGACGGATGCTTGTGAYAAAGTGTCTTATAAAAACTGTACTGTTAAATTTTTAAATACCATTCGTGTTATAGATTAAAAAAAAGTTTCATTAGTTTTAGGTGTGGCTGAACTTAAAAATAAATAAATAAATTCAAATTTTGTTTTAATGCTGATTTTGTTAACATCCTGTTTCTGTTTAATTTTTGCCTATTATTTTTTTAGGCTACTTTTTGTAACATTAAACAACTTTTGAATATTTTGTGCGCATGGAAGC